TTCAAGGACCTTCTTGCCTTGAAGAAGCATCGTCCCTGATTCTACAGCATGCTCTAAGAACTTCCCTAATATAACTCCACTGTCCCAAAGCATTGATCCTGTTACTCCAGGAGTTCCCTAAAGTTATAAAAATAAAAACAAATAAAAAAATCAAAGATCTAAAAATGATCATAACTAGAATATAAACAAAGTGAAAAGATGGTCCAAATAGTAATTGATTTACTTTATTATGAGGAAGCCGTTAGCCAAATCAACTATCGCTGCTTTAGAAAGTTCTAATAAGTATTCAACTCCATAGGTCAGTCAACCCAAATATCCTTTCACCAACTGGAAATTCTTATTTATCAGCAAATGGTACAAAAAATTGTACAGTATAAAACTACAAAATATTTGCAAAAGTGTATTTGTAATTTACTCCCAGTTGTGATTCTAATTTTAGAAATCGGACAAATGCATCCATTCTATCCAATTACATTAAACATGGAGCACTTTCAAAACAGAATTACAGATACAATTTGAAAGTGCATATATTAGCAACAAATTCATACTCAAACTAATAAAAGAGAAAGGAAAAAGAGGGGGAAATATATGAAACTAGTAAAATCAAACCATATTTCGGACATCAAACCAATACTAGCTTAGAAATCAATCCACAACAGTCAAACCCATTTCAAAAATGAACACCAAATTCAACCGATTCAAGCATATAAAACCCTAAAGCCACAATCAAAAAAGGGGGAAACAGAGGAAAGGAGAGAGAGAGACAGATAGACAGACAGACGCAAAGAGAAACTGTGAGCGAGAGAGACAGACACATCGAGAGAGAGAGAGAGAACCTGTGATCTACGACTGTGCTGGTAGTGCTTTGCGGTGGTGGCCGTGGCTGTGTCCTCCGTATGGTGGGCTGCGGTGAGATGTTTCTCTCTGAGGTTTGGTCTTTGATTGTCTTTGTCTGAGAGGTTTGAATGTTGTTGTGTAACAGAGAAAAGGGTGGGCATTAATAAAAGAGTTCGCGCCCTAAAAAATTTCAAGCTTTAGCTACTAAAATCAATTTTTGTCGGCAAAAGGGTGCTTATTGGCTACTATTCTATTTGGTAGCCACAGGTAAATCAACGGTGACTATTTTATTGGTTGCCAAAAGTAATTGGCTACTAAATCTCCATTTGGTTGGAAAAAAATAATGTTTGCCTACTAAATTTTTTAGTCGCTACAGAGTAACCATAAAAATATACTTGGGTTTTGGCTATAAACATTTATTTTGTAGGCAAAAAATAATATATGACAACTAAAAAAAAAATTAGTAGCCTAAAATTTAGACTAACGACGACAAATAAATATTTTAGTCGCTAAAAGTGACATTTCTACCGACAAAATAATAATTTGGTCGCCAATAAATAATATTTCCCGACTAAAAATTTTTAGTAGCTACATCCTATACCAACGCCGATTAATACATATTTTAGTTGTCCAAAGTGACATTTTTGGCAACTAAATTTTTTTTCGTCGCCAAAAGTGATCCTCAAATTCTTGTAGTGTATGTTTTGTAGTACATGTAGCAATTGTAAGTCGATTTTATTATTTTTACTATTCTTAAATATTTCGGAGTACATTTTAATTTTTTAGCTTTTGTGGTTACAAACATTGGGCATTTTCTCACAGAGATGTATTACAGATTTACCTAAAAATATTTGAAAATAGAAAAGAGTAAATTATGCTAGATGCCCCTAAACTTTGCACTTTTTTTTAGTAAGACACAAAACTAAATTTATGTTCAAATAAGTCTTCCAACTTCTCAAATTGGTTCAGTTTAGTCTTTCTATTATATATGGTCCATTTTTAGCATATGAGTGTATCATATTGGACAAACCTAAAAGATAAATTGATAAAATTAACCCTAAAACCCTTTTTCTGATTTTTTTTCCTAGTATCGGAAAAATCCATCAACGAACTTAGAAACGTGTGGGTGAAGGCAAAAGAGTGCATTGAACTAATTTGGGAAGTTACCGAGCTTAACTGGGTGAAAATCTAGCTTAGGGACATAATCAAAAAAAGAAGAAAACTTTACGGACTTTCGACATAATTTACTAAAAGGAAAAAAAGAAAAGAAAAGAAAAGAGGGCAATAGATAATAATGTGAAAAGAATAAAAAAGGGGAACTTATTAATAAGTCCCATATATAAGGTTCAAAACCCATCTAATCTTAAAACAAAAAACTTGCACCAATTAGTTCTACATATTTTTAATTGTTATAAAAAACTCCTATTTTTATTTTTATTTTTTTAAATTTACAGATGCTGTTACATCCCACCACCATCGGACTTCCGTCAGACGGTCATCGGAGACTTGCCGAAATGTTCAACATCACCAGGAAGTCGCCGAAGTATTGCTGAAAAGTCGCCGGAGTATTACCAGGAAGTCGCCGGAAGTTCACTAGACTGTTATAAACACCAATGAAAGTCACCAGAATGTCTAGAACGTTCGCTGGACGTTAAGAACATCATTGGATACTCACCGAAATGTTTAGAATATTGCCTCTCAAAAAAAAATGGAGAAATTAGAGCAAAAAACCATAGCAAATGTGCTAAATATTAATAAACTAAAAGAAAAAAAATGTAACGACAAAAAACAGCAATAATGGAAAAAACATATGTTATTTTTCAATTTTTGTAGGGTTTAAGCAAATAATCTCCAATATTGATCAAACTAAAAAATAAGTTTTGAAATTGTAAAATGTTACAGTTTCAGAGCAAAAATCTATTAAGTATTTATCCTTATTAATCAAACTGAAAAACATGTTATAAAACTACAAAATTTTATAGTTCAAAAGAATGTTATGAAACTGCAAAATTTTACAGTTTTAAACCATGATTCATTCTAGTACCAAAAAAAAATTGAAACTACAAAATTTTACAGTTTTTACCGCCTGTAACTAATACTCGAAAACAACTTATTCAAAATTTGAAAATTTTCTCCATTAAAACAGAAAATAGACTTGTGTAACAGAGAAAAGGTAGAAAAATTGAGAAATCAAAGGAAAGAATAGATATAGAAAGAATATTGTACTCCGGCGACTATTTTTTATTCATATCTAGTCGGATCTCATGTAGATCTACTCATTAGATTTGAGTAGATCTACTCATCTTCTTCGCCATCGGTGACGATGAAGTCACGAGTTGATGTCGATGGTTGGTGGTTGCCAGTGAACCTTAATCATTGGTGGTCATCAGTCACTAGTGACTATTTATTAGAAAGAGAAAGAGAATAAGAAAAGTGTGATCACTGGTCGTTGTCCATGATAAAAAAAAAAAAAAAAGAGAGGAAAATGCAGAAAAAATAGAGAGAGGAAAACGTAAAGAATGAGGCAAAAAGCAGAGAGACAGAGAGAAAAAGAGGAAAAACAAGACTTTTGAGTCTACTCAAAAAGTTGTTAGATTAGATAGTGTACACATATTTCAAACAGGACCTATGGATAATTTTCCTAAGAAAAAATGTGCATAATCAAAGATGGGGCTACACTTGTCTACAAAGGAAAAAGTGGTTACTGTGATAGTCCCCCTTTGCATGACAACTTTGTGTCCAGGGCCGACCTTAGCCTAAGGCCAGTAAGGCTTGTGCCTTAGGCCCCAAAATTTTGGCCTAAAAATAGGGCCCTCAAATATAGTAAAATATTATAGGCCCAATGTTGTTTTTTTTTTTTTTTTTTTTTTTTAAAGGATCAATTTAAGGGCCCCAAAATATTTTATTAGGTCTATGTATGGTTTAGCCCATATTTATTTATAAGTGTAGTTTGACCCATATTTATGAAAATATATATTTAAAAAAAAAGGTGTTTGGGCAAGAAGAACAATACATACAATATATGGGCCCTAATATATATATATTTTTTTACCTTCTTTATCTATTAGATTTTAGTGGAATAAATAATTTTGCCCCAAATTTTTTACCTAGGTCTTTATTAGTTTTAATTGAATAATTTTTTCCTAATTTTTTTGCCCTAATTTTGTTTCATTAAATTGTTTTGTTTATAATTTTAATGACTATATGTGCAAGTAAATTTTTTGTGACTACAAACAAACAAACAAACAAAAAAAAGTTGTAACTTGCCGTTTTATACATGAAATTTTTTTTTCAATGTAAGAGCGGCCTCCATTTCTGAAATTCACCTTAGTCCCCCTAAATCTCAAGGTCGGCCCTGCTTGTGTTTGCTTGCATGTTAATGCATCCATCTGTTACAACTATTAAATTCATTGGGCTTAATATCTATTACGATCTCTTAAAATTTTGTTTGTTTTTATTTTTATTTTATTTTTCAGTCAGTTTCAAAAGTACCGCTCTTATGGTAGGAAAATACTTAACTAATTTGAATTAAAAAAAAAAATTAAACTAATTGTCAAGATGAATTTCTTAGGGTCTGTTTGGTAACGTTTACGTTTTCAGTTTATATTTACAAAAATTTTATAAATTGGTTTTTGTTTATTTTTAGAAAAACATAAATTACAAACGCGTTTAGTTTAGACAAAATGTTTTAAAAAATTTTAAAATATAAAAGAGAGTAAGAAATGACAAGTGGTGACGGGTGGTGGCGACAGAAGACGGTGGTGACGGGTGGTGGGTGATGGTGGCAGAAGACAGTGGTGGAAAGTGGTGGCAAGTGGCGGCGGAAGACGGTGGTGAAAAGTGGTGATGGTGGGTGGCGGGTGGCGGGTGGTGGTGGATGGTGGCGGGTGGTGGTGGTGGTGGTGGGTGGATGGATGGGTGACGGTAGCGGGTGGTAGGTGGTAGCGAGTGGGTGGTAGTGGTGATGGTGGCAGGTGGTGGTGGTGGTGGCGGGTGGGTGGCACGTGGTTGGTGGCGGTGGATGGCTGGTGGTGATAGGTGGTGGATGGTGGTGGCAGGTGGGTGGTGAGTGGTGGTGGCAAGTAGATGGCGGGCGGTGGATGGTAGTAGCGGGTGGTAGGTGGTGGCGGGTGGATAGCAAGTGGGTGGTGGTGGTGGTGGTGATGGCGGCGGCGGCGAGGAGTGGGTGGTGGTAGCGAGTGGGTGGCAGGTAGGTGGTGAGTGGTGAGTGGTGATGGTGGCGGAAGACGGTGGTGGAAAATGATGGCGGGTGGTGGTGGTGGCAGAAGACGGTGGTGGAAAATGGTGGCAGGTGGTGGGTGATGGTGGCAGAAGAC